TTTCATTGCAAAGTATTTGTAATAGTCTTAAGGGAAATTGTATAGATATCAGATTTTTGTATTCTGTAACTTGTTTAAAAATTAAATAAAGATCCTTTTAAACATATGTCTCACTGTCGAATTATTCACTACTCCTACAATGACCAACGCCCATTCCTTAACGAGAACTATGACTCGAAATAAGAGCCCTCACCACTATTAAATTAGTTCTATAAGTATGTCAAATTCTGCACTGCGAAATTCTTGGAAATGACGTCATCAGGAGTACTTAGTGCTACCTCCTATCAACTCATATTCTCCTGATACAAAGTCCAATTTTGGAGAAAAATTTTGCTCTTTGAGAATTCTTGGAAATGACGTCATCACCAGGAGTTAGTGCTACCTCTTATACTATCATATTCTCCTAATACAAAGTTCAATTTTCGAGAAAAATTTTGCTATTCGAGAATTCTTGGAAATGACGTCATCAGTAGTAGTTAGTGCTACCTCCTATTACTTTATATTCTCCTAATACAAAGTGAAATTTTCGACGAAAATTTTTTTCTCCGACAATTCTTGGAAATGACGTCATCGGTAGGAATTAGTGCTACCTCCTATGTTATCATATTCTCCTGATACAAAGTCCGATTTTGGAGAAAAATTTTGCTTCAAATTGGACTTTGTATCAGGAGAATATGATGTGATAGGAGGTAGCACTAACTCCTATTGATGACGTCATTTCCAAGAATTCTCGGAGAGCAAAATTTTTCTCTAAAATCGGACTTTGTATTAGGAGAATATAAGTTGATAGGAGGTAGCACTAACTCCTGGTGATGACGTCACGATTCCAAGAATTTATTAAATTTTTATTCTATCTTATTTCTACTTACACTAAATGAAAATGACATGGAAAAGGGATTGGATGCGGATAGAGTTAAAGGTAAGTAACGAGACGTTTGAATTTCATTTAAACTAATTGTTTATTAATCAAGTTTTTCTAGTTATACAATAATTGTACAAAGAAGATTGTTTAAGTACTGCTTATAAATGTATCACTGTTAATTTTATCACTGACACTGGTTTCGTAAGAAGTGCAAAGGGCTCTCTTCATTATTTCTATCAGCTCTGAGAAATATCTGTAACAGACAGAGAAAAATGTTTAAAATCATGTAAAGCAATACTGGACAAAAATGAATTCGACATTTTGAATTTCATGAATATTAATTGTTTCTTTTGTATTTTCTTAATGTTTCAAAGTTTTTAATACGGTTTCATGGACTATTTTACAACGTATAAACAAATCTTATTTAAAAAGATGTTCTTAATATTTTAAAAATCCTGCAACTAAAACCTGAAGTTCTACTATTGCTCAACGCACGGCGCTAGATTGATATTCCTAAAATCTTACGACACTGGGCGCAAGAAGTATATATGCGCTAATTTTTAATTATACATGTCGTTACGTGAACGAAATACCTAAATTTTACAAAGTCGCATTGAAACGGAAGCCGAGCATTAATCACGGGTACGACATTACGACGAAGAAGATCGTATTTTATCGAATTAAAAACTAATCTATAACGAGCAGTGAATCTCGATGGAATTAGAATTAAATTTGGATTTGTGATACAAGAAAACCAGGAGCAGAGAAGTGAAAGATGTATCCGGCCAATCAAGAATTCGATTTTACCTTGAAACTCACAAACCACGAGAACGTCTATGTAGCTTCTCTGTTCCCTGACACATCCCCACCATCCGGTTCGGTCAGCGAGCTCTCTGCGTTGCTTTGCGTCGGCCGACGACGAGCAACCAGCCAGCCAGCCAGTCGTGGGGTCACCAGATAAATTATGTCAAACCGAGTGGTGTTACGAACGTGAACTGTTATCAGGATCCGTCGTGATCCGTATACGAAAGTGTCGCGAGGTGCGCGCTCGTACACGACTCGCGTGTGATATCGCCGATGCGGAACTTACGGCCTCGGTCGCCCGAGCGAGTTCTCGTTTAAAAATTAGTGTTAAACTTTGAACGACCGTGCTCCGAGCGAACGTGCGCGTTCGCGTTCGTCGCATCGTCTCCTCGTACAAATGCACGAATCCGTGACTGTTACTCGGACGAGATCATGCTGACCCGGCAACATCAATTGTGAGTACTTAATTGCTTCGTATGCTTTTTACGATTAACGCAATCGCGGAATTCGAACGTCCGCTAGGAGCTCGCTGTCACGAAACGCTGGACCGATTGTACTCTTGTTTTCATCCGAGAAAAATGTAACCAGCGATTCGGTCAAAGTAAAACTGAAAAACTAGCTGTATTATCCTCGTTGCCATGCACGGGTGCACGTTTATTCCGCTACGTCTCAAGATTTCAGTTCTTTTCTATTCACGTTTTTTCTTTTTTTATTCGAACTCTCTTACATCTCGAGACGACGATTTAACAATTCGCTCAAACTTCGATCGAGATGTAAAAGAAGTTGCATCGGAAACCGTATTTAAATTAAATAAATTGATAATTCGTTTAATGAGTCGCTTAATGCGAGCGGTGCCGGTCGACGTGAGCCGCGTTGTTTTAATCCGTACAATAATTAAATCATACGTTACTTAATTCCATTGGAAATATTATATTACAATCGAGAATAGATTTATAAGAATTACGTTGTTCATACGGTGTCACTACTCCCGTTTCGCGACCGTCTATCTCGTAACAAGGTTGTAACGAACCTTAACGCGTCGCTCTCTTCCGCTTCCTACGTTCGCCGATCCGACATACAATTACACGGTGAGAAACAAATTCGCGTGTAACAGAAACCGCGTCGTAGAGACTCGCGTTATCCAAGGGTCCAGCGTACTACTCGAGATCAGGTAAAAGAGAAGAAAAAGTAGGGAAAAAACGGAGGACGAAGAAGAAGAAGAAGGAGGAGAAGGAGAAGGAACGTGGTCGTGTCGTTATGTCGTTCGGTGCGTGAAAACGAACCGACCGGCTGCCACCGACAGCTTCCTCGTCCGAGAGCGTGACCACACTTTAACTTTCAGCGACGAACGACAAGCGCTTTGAACACCGTTCCAATTACCTATCTGCTGTATCTAGACTCTAAATAAATTTACATTTGAATTCTGTTTAAAAACTGCAGACTTGCAAGTAGGATTCGTTTTAGTCGATCCATCCTCACCTATCATCCATACAATTCCTTATGTACAAACTCCTAACCATTTAATATCTACATAGGAAAACCGCAAAATCCATCGTTCATCTGAGATCATTGAAAATACTGAATATTCGAAGTGCCAATATTAATCGCACGAATGATTCGAACTATTTGATCGCAAGAGGACAGACATTACGTCGTTCGTTGATTCTGAGCACACGATGCGGGCAATCGGGTGTTCGGAATTAAAGTCACTTACTTCCCTTAACTGATATCTACCTCAACTCTACTATTTTTCCATGTTTCTTGTTGTCTTATTTTATTTATTGTTATTCTGCTGCACAGAACTGTATTAATTACTATTATTTATGTAACAAAAAGGGTTCTACCCGTTAATAAAATTAAAGTTAAAATGACTCGAAATCTGTGTTGGTTTCGATAGTGCTCGTTGTCCGGCCCTGTCGGGCCTGGCCGTTTTCACATGAGATCGATCACCCGAAACGCATCTCGAGTGGAGACGCGTTGCTCGCATATCGGTTGTTCAACGGACGATAAGCGGCCTGCCTCTGCCCACGCGAACAACGGCTCCTCTTCTCTTCACTCTCGCTTTTTCCGCTCTTTTCTCGTTTCCCTCGCCTCTAAAAGCAAATTCGCAATCGCGCCTCCCTTGGCACTCTAGACCGTGTCTCGACGCGGTCGCTTCGAGATCATCGATGATCGTTTCCGACGACTTCCGTTCGTGAATCGAGTTTAGAGACGTTTCATAAAACGAACAGCTTCATAAAATCGTTGCCGATGGAGTAACAAAAGCACGAATTGTCGGCGATGTCTGACGGCGCCGTTGTTCGTAGCCGTCGGAAATGAATCGTCGATAAATCTCGAGTCGAACTGACTCGATCATTTCGAGAACGCAGGGAAACGAGCAGCGAATAATAGTTTCACAGTCTTAGGATTTTATTTTACGAGTCGTACGAACACCTGTTCGTACGTGTTTCAAGCTTTACGTCGAGTCGGACTTATTAAACTTCGGAGGAAAAGAATTGCTCGCTTTCGAATTACCGAGGAAGCACAGGCGTGTGTACGTGTGGGTAAGAAAAGTTGGAAGTCAGGAGGGATTGAATTCACGAGCGCAGTTATTCGAGCCTCCGTTCCTGCTCGCGTTTCAAACGTAGAAGGGGTTGTAACAACCACGAGTCGCAAACCTCAAGTTTCGTTTTGATCAATACTGTCGCGTGGTCGCGTGCAGAAAATTCTTTCGCTTATCGCGACCCGCGCGAGCGAGTAGCGGCGAGGGTGCGTTCTACGCCCGTTACAAATTAAAATTTCAAATCGTTCCGATTGCACACCGAGGAACTCGACTGTCCCGGTGCTCCAGAAAAATTCTCTGCCGATCCATAAGCGTACAGACGCGAAAGCATCGAAGAACGGATTTAGAATCATCGAGTCTCGCAAGGGAAACTTTGATCCGATCATTTGACCGTTCGAGCGAAACGAACGAAGTCTCTTCGCAAAAGGGTTGACGAATTTTTCTTTCAGGAAACTCCGATCTCCCGTGCAGTTCCGCGGTCGGACGCGGCGGCAAGTTCGTTTACTTTCTACGATCCACCTACCGCCTGCCTCCTCGCGGTCCGTCTCTCTCGAATAATCTCACGAACGCGTTAGATAAAAAATTATTTCTCCACCGTAGGACCGACCGCGTTATCTCTCTTCTCTCGCGTCGTTTATCTTTCCACAGCAACGATAACGGAACGATGGAACACCATTTTCTAGTAGCTTTCGACAGCCGTTTTTCGTTCCCCTCCATTCTCGGTTTTAATTTAACCAGCTGTTCATTTATCCGCCCGCTGTTAGACTAGCCGAAATCGAGTCGATAACGGAAGCGATTCGTTTTCCCCGACGGCGAGAGAAACGTTACGTGGATACATTCAGATTCGCGGGATAAAACGGGGATCAGTTTGATGAACGCTCGCAGAATCTGATAAAAATTCTGACAAAACTTTGTTACACTATTCCGTAAAACATGATCAGTTCACAAATATTTTTTATCGTCGAGTACGTTGATATGCGCATAAACAAATAATACTAGAGAAAATTGCATAATCTTATCGTCGGTTTACGGAGCAAAAGGATAGGAGGCTAATAGAAACGATTTAAAAAGGACTTGTATCATCGACGACGGTGAAACGATTCGAAACGCGTTCAGCGAAATTGCTTAACGCCGTGTACGTATTTATACACGCTCGGTGGCTCAATACAAGCTCGAGGAGACGAGGCCATGACATTTTCCGCGCTTGTTTTCCTGTCCAGCCTTTTATGACTACGCGACCGTTTCGAAAAGAGAAGAGATACGGTTAACCGGGCTATCTATGGACCGTGGATCGAAGCAGTATTTTATACACGGGCAACAATATGAGAAACTGATATCGAAATTCCAGTTTCCTTCGTAGCATCGCCGTCACGAATAGACTCGAGTCAATAAAACGACGGGATAAATAGTTCTCTAAGGAAGAAGAAATAAAGGGAAGCAACGTTATTTATTCACGAGACTGCCATGTGCCACGCCACATGGCGTCGATTCGTCTGTTGGCAGCACAGGAAATTAACACTCTTTCTAAAGTACGTAAACCATTTAATATTCTTTGGTAACTTCTCGTCGACGAAACACTAAAAGATCGTCCTCGTCGCGTCATTCTTCGAAGATATTTACTCTGTATTTTCCTGCCTATCATTATAAATTCTCAGCCACTGTATTTCGAAACCCCCTGATTTTAATATTAAAACAATACGTTTCTCAGATTCATGCGGAGTGCCACGACTCCAACTTAAAAAAATACGACTTAAGAGAGAAACTCGTTTCATACATTTTATTAATTAATTGTCTGTCGAAACGGTTTCCCGTTTCTCGAGAAACGTGTACCCTCGAATTGCAGCACGTGCTCAGCGAGCATGCAAAATTATTCGACAGATGCACGTGAAACTGTGCGCGTGTCCCAATTTAGACGAATTCGCCGTTTCCATTTCTCTTCGACGGCGAGGATAAACGATTCGAGACCGGGAAAATTCTTTTTATTTTTTTCTTTTTCCCACGGAGCCGTTCCTCGTCACGTTCATGCAGGTACATCGGCGCTCGTGTTTCTTCCACCGCGCCGCGCGCGCTGACCCTATCTCCTTTTGTTCCTCGCGACACGACGCGAATTCAATGTCAAAAGCGAGATGGAAATAGGCGGCCGGGCTTGAAAAACTGGCGTGCTATCGATCCTCCAGGTTCGGCATGGGCGCGTGTACGTACGTACGTAATGAAACAGAGACGAAACGTGGCTACTTCGCCGCTCCGACGTTCCCATACCTTTTCATGTTTACCGAAGGTATGCGTCGGTTTCGAACAGTCTCCTCGCACGATTTTCAATGGGTCGCTTCTTGACCGAGTTTCTTGTTTCTATGTCGGCTAGTCTCGTCGACGTAACGTTTGCTGGGGCTCCAACAAACAGTGTTTAGCTACGAGTTCGAGTCGAAGGAACGAACGAAAGTACTACAAGAAACGATATTCTAATGTCAGACGAAAGATTTTATAATTAATTGTAACAACCGAGGAAACATTTCATCGCTCTGTATAATTTTTAGCTCTGATTATTAGGCGATGATTATAGTCGATGATTTTCTGGGTCATAGACGACGTATTAATGTTCGATTTTAATTAAATCTAATTAAACAGGATAATTAATGTTTCAAACATAGACGCGTGCTGCTGGAGCACGTAATTGGAAAGGACTAGTTTCTCGATCATTTAAAATTCGATGTACATTTGCTACGAATTCCTTTACGCTCGTACCAATTATCGCGTAAACGCGGAATCGATTCGATCATCGGTTGAAAGATGCAACAGGTCGACGTGATATCGCTGCGGTTCAATGAAATGACATCAACGATATAAAAACTGGTTTTGCTCTCCGAATATTTTTAACGATTCGCCTCTTCCCATTCACATCGTACGTACAATTGC